GGGGAGTGGGGGTGGGGGGAAGCTATCTCACTCCAATACGGGAGGTCATCCACTCCAAGCCTTGGCATAATCTGAAAGATAAGAGATGTTACATTGGTACTAGTTCTATTCCAACATTTTTAAAGTATATTCTACTTGTTTTTATGTTTAAAAACACCTACTTAAAATAAATAAAATCAACTGGAATTGGGATCAAAACTTGACCAGAGTAAATAGTGTTTTAAACTAAGTCTACTTAGGCTTTAAGCACAAGAAACGGTCAAGCATGCTATTTTATTGAAGCTTGGCACTCCTTCAATTTTTTTTCCCTGTAAATCTAAAAGATGCTATTCTTAACATGCTTACTCGTAAGTACATGGAACCAAGTAAGTTCTTCTTTTTCTACAGGTTTCCCACGAGAGACTGCTTACTTGAAAGCTAGACCTTTACATACTAATACTAAAAGACAAAGGACAGATACCCAGACTGAATTCGTTCACGAAAAGGCAGTGTATCAAGAATTCCAAAATCCCATTACAAAATTAAAAATATATTTATATGCAACACCAAGATTGCATGGGATCTAATCTGCTTACTCACTCAATTTGCATCTCTATTTAAAAGTCATCCATTTCAGAAGATAGGCTTTCCTTTGATATTCTAGGGATCTAGTTACCTAATTTATGCCATCTGTAAGCTTTACCTTTGTGAAGTATATCATGACTTAGCTATCCAAAAGGGCTAGCGTCACTCACGCAGGGCTAATCTCCCTAGACTTCTGTCAGATCTTCCCAAGGAAGATTCAGCTCAGCGATGTAACTCTGGGAATTTTTTAATGAGTTGGTCTCGCTACTGTTACAGTTTTAAGTATTCTAATGACTCGCCATTTTTTCAATAAGAAAGAAGTAGCCAATGTTTCTAAACCGAAGTTCATATTCATTAATTTCTACCTTCCTCCAAATGCCAACTTATTTGAAGACCTAAGTTAGTACATAAACTAAATACTCAAAAGCAACTTTGGCAAAACTGGTAGGAGGAAAGCAGAGTTAACTCTTAGAATGAAACAATACAATCCAAAGACTAAATCAAAAAAACAGTTTGTTTTCACTAACACATCCTACCCTAAGGAAGTGAATGCTACCAATCACTCTACAAGACATCTCCATTACATTAGAAAATACTTCATGCTAGAAGTGAGGAAGGTGCTCTCTCTTCCCAAATACTCATTTGGATTCACTATTTTTGATGTCACAAGACCACATTATTGTAAAGGTTGCACAGCTGAAAAAAACCCTCTAACTATTACACATTAGAAGACTGCTTTAAGAATCAAGATGAAAAATTAGCACACTTCAAACCATGTAAGCAAGACACTATCCAACTTGCTACAGGCATCCAAAAACGTTTTTTTATCTTTATAGACAAAGGATCTAAGGAAAGCTCAGCTTTCCATTTTAGTAATTGCTGGCATAAAGACAAACAAGTTTCAAAATTAGCTACATCAGCCAGATATAAATAAAAGGTTTAATATTGGTAACAATTTTGTTTTATGCCAGATCTATGTACCTTTTAATCAAAACTAAGTTTGAATGCTTATCAAAAAAACCAACCAACCTAAAAAACCCCAAAACCACCCCAACCCCCCCTACCTTAGAAGCTTACAGCAGATCAGAATGTAAAGGAAGATGACAGTAGCTTATTTCTTTAACTACACAAAGACACACAGAATGAGAGGGTAGCGCACAGAGAGTAAACAATTATGCCAACAGCTACATATCTGGGTGCGGGGGGTGTTTGTTTGGTGGGGTTTTTTTGTGGTGTTGTTTGGGTTTTGTTTGGTTGGGGTTTTTTCTTAACAATAAGCTGATACACCGTCATACAAATTTGGAGTTTGAGCTATGAAAAAAATCCACAAGGTTCAATAAAGAAAAGGAAAAATTCAAAATGTCCCTCTGACTGCAAAGATCAGAACATACGTTCTTTCAGGAAATCCATATTGGTGTCAACAGGCTTCTAAATCAGTATTCTCATTTACCATATATTACTATACCAAGCAGTAAGCATTTACCCTTCTCCTGTCAAAGCACAACAGGACTGAATGTGCCACGGGTGATCCTTTATGGAGCTAAGGGTGAGGTATGTAGATATCTCGGCAGCTGTCATGCAACCTTTCATGTCCTGCTTGTTTGCAAAGATGAGAACTGCAGCCTTCCGTAAATCCTAGAAGTAATTTAGAGTATTCATAATTGTTATTATAAAGAACTAAAAGGCTATTGTGTTAACTGAAGTTCTTAAAAAGAACTGTATTCAAGCTAATCTACAATTACACAGCAGCACGGAGTTTAAACAGACTTACTGCATTAAAAATTAATTACATTAAGACTGAAGAAACCAATTTATTCAGAAGTGTTCTCCACCACAGAGAATCAAATTATAATGTATTATACGACTATCCTTTTGGTGTTGACCACAGGTTCATATGCTAACTAATCAAAGTCTTGTTAAAATATATTTCATAAAGCTCCAAACCATCCAGCCAGTGGAATTATTACTGGATAAACATCCCAAAATCTACATTAGATACTATTCAAATAGAAAAGCCTGCTAGGTATCATTCCCTTGAAATTACTTTCAATTTCATTAAACAAGTTCTGTAGCGATTAAGGCAGTAACAATTTAAGAAAGCTATCTAAATTCTTGTAAGTTTTATCTTATTGTTACAAAAAGGGAGCTCTAACAATGCTGCAGCAGCTTTAGTAAAAACAGAAACTAATAAAAAGTTGTTTTGTTTCTGTATGGAAATTAGGATTCACACAGCAATGAGACAAGAACTGGGATGTGTGGTTTTAGGAGTGCTGAAGGGGAAACAAATGCAATACTCAGGAAGCTGACAGTCTTAATTAAAAGTGTTCAACACATTTAAATATATATTAAATTTTGAGACTATTTCTCCATCAAGAGGAAAAAACCCAAACCTTTATGGTCCAAAGTTGAAAATTCACTCCTACAAGTAGTCCAGTCTAGGCCTACCGACTGTTTTCAAGAGATGGTAGATCACAATCTCCTAAGAGTTTATAACACTGGAAACTGAAAAATTACATGGCAAAACTTCACCACAAAAAAGTCATCTTTCCACCTTTTTTGGTAGTGTATTTGCTCCTTACTACCAGACCCATACTACATTAATATTAACTGTAAAGTAAAAACCTCACTCACTTGAAACAACGCAAATCTCTAAGAGAAATGAACTCTGAACATTGTACTAAATCCTTTTCCTTCCAAAATTGAGAGATTTAGATTTAAAACAACCCTAATTTAGCTTGAGAGTGATCACAGAGGGTTTTAATGTACTTTAGCTAATCCAGTGTAGATCTTAATTTAGGATGGTTGAGGGAATTGACCCAATGTTGAACAGTCCTGAATACAACATATAATAATAAAACTACAAACAAAATAATTCAGAAGGAAACTGAACTGCAACTAATTTATCCATAGTATTAGATACGCTCCTTAATTTTAAGGAACCAGATTAAAACAAACAAGAAAGAGAAATCAAATTGCCTGCTTTCTAAAATAAAAATAAAAATTTTAAAAAAAAAAGTTTCTTGATATTTTAACCATCTAACTGAAAGAAGAGAGATAGTGATGGAGAACAATAATACCCAGTTACATTAATATGAAGCTTACAATATTTTACTAGTTCGACATTTGCAAAGTGAAAAGTGATTTGATTATAATCAAGCAAGCCCTATGAGATTACTTCACAATAATTTCCCTGTTTATTTATAATTTACATGGTTTTAAAATGTGACTAACATGCATGCACATTTAGGCTCAGAAATTTTTTGTGACAGTGTAATTTTTGCTAACATAGGAAGCATGTAATGTTATTTGACTGTTCACAACAAAAGAAAACTATTATCCCAACTCCCCACCATACCTCATGAGCCAGCATTCTATAAAGTTCTTCTTTTGTAATAGAAAGTCGCTCCCTATCAATGCTGTCAACAACAAGAATGATGAACTAGGGGAAAAAACAAAAGTACAGTATGTAAGTACAAAGTATAAATCACAGAAAGCACGTTTTCAAGAGACCACTACCACAAATCTTCCTATATAAGAGAGACATAGACTTTCAGAGCATGCTAGAAAATAGAACAAGAGGTTTATTGTTACAGTCTTTTGCTAGAGCCCTGGGAATCATACATGAAGATTATAGTTTAAAAAAAAAAAAAAAAAAAAAAAAAAAAGATTGTACTTGTATATGTCAGCACTGCTATTAAGATCTACTTTCATGTACTATGGTTAAGTCTCCTTGGTGGATTTTCAGGCTGTACATCATAAGCAAAATAATGATGTAGGTACCAAAAGCACCTACACTTTTTGGGTTTGTTCTTCCTCAAAAAGATTTAAAAACAATACAGCTGCGATCTTTATAAAAATCTACCAACGTTCCTAATAAATAAATACAATTTCAAATAAACTTATTGAATTTGCAGATTTCAAAGCAGCTTCTCATACCTCTGTATTTGAATAATAGGTATTCCATGATGACCGTAATGATTCTTGTCCTCCAATATCCCACATTAAGAAATGAGTGTTTTTCACCACTATTTCTTCTACATTGCTTCCTATGGTTGGAGAAGTGTGAACCACCTCATTCATTAAGCTAAAGGAAACAATATCACACCATAAAGACCAGCCAGTAAAACCCACAAGACTTGTCACAGCTCAATTACAACAAATTTCTTGTAGAAAAAGTAAATATGTGTAACTCTGATAAAAAACGATTAAAAAACTAGGCATATTTCAAAAAGCTATACATGTGAATTTTTATAGCAATAAAGCAAACATTTAAGAGCAGTTCTTTAGTAAAAAGGTTAGTTTAATCTGAATTTGGACTAAAAACTGTGGTTGACAAAGTTCTAGTGTGCTTTTGTAGCAGAGACTGTAGACATGCTTAAAGACATCAGCAATGAAAAATAAGCACATAAAAGGTTTATAACAAATGGATAAGCATCTGCATTTTAAGAGGCTTTGCTTTTTAAAGGGCATTCTTTAACAGATACTTAAAATGCACTTGTTTCAAAGTAGAAGCTACTATTCTAAAGATCCCAAATGAGGGGAACACTAAACTGTGCAAAATAAAAGTCAGAATATAATTTTATCAGAGCACTCAACTTAGTAACTCAATATTAAAACAAATTCATAAGGACTGTTTGTTGACACAGCCGAAAATTTCTCAGTTCTACCTTTAAGCTTTGTCAAAAGTGCTTAGGAAAAAGGTTTTTTGGAAAACATCCTCTGCTGCCTTCGTAACCAAATATATGCATAGTAATTTGGCTACACCCTCCTCCTTTTCCACAGTTACAACAGTCATTACGTTCCTGCCAATATTCTTGAGTTTATCATAATGCTGGCAAGATTTGGGTGCAATGATGCTATTGAAAATGCTAAAGGTAGGACCTAGGCAAGATGAAATACTATTTTGAGGAATCCTCCATGACAAATTTTAGACACTGGAATTGGGAAACATTTGGAAACATTTTTGGATTTTTGCAGACAGGCTAGAATTTCCATTAATTTAGAAATCATTTTCTTCTCTGCAGTTCTTGGCGACAGGATCATTTCTATGCTCACAAATAAAGATAGGCTTTGATGGCAAAAGAACTTACAGTTCACTTTGTGCTTGTACGTACAAATTTGTTATTCAATTTACAGTTCAGTTTTAAAACACTACAATTCCTTCACTTATCCTTTAAATATTTACTCTGTTTAGAACAACTAATACCATTAATGTACAAACTGTGATCTTGAACCCTAAAGATTCTGCCAGATTGCAAAGCTGAATTTTCAATGATTAAACAGTGACAAATACTAAAATGTAAACAGAAAAACAAAATAGTTCATATACTTACAATTGGTAAAGAATAGTAGTCTTTCCAGCATTATCAAGTCCCACTATGATTACTTTGTGCTCTGCATATACACAAAAATATATACACAAAGAATAAATTAGTGGAAACAGCAATAACTCTGGTTAATCACTTTTCCTTACTGAATGAAGCAACTGCTTGTTTGTCTTACTTCAATAGCTTAGACTACTGGTGACTTCAGGACAGAAAAAAAAATCCACAAAGCCTCATCTTCTCTTGAGATTACAGTTTTAGGAAAAGTCTGTACTGGAAGTCTTCATAAAGGAATGGCTACTAATATGATTACTTCATTAAAAAAAAACCCCTAGTTTTAGAAAGAAAAGTACAATGAAAAAAATATAACTTATAGCAGTGTATCATCTTAAGAACGTCACCAAAGACAAAATAGTAGCCTAACGTTCAAGGCTCAATAACAACCACTTATTAAGGGACCACCATCATTCACACAGTAAAAACTAAGAGGAAGCTGTATTTTGAATAGATCACAAATGCCAACGTTGCAATTTCTGAACTGAAAAGTCACAGAATGACAGAATGGTCGAGGTTGGAAGACACTTCTGAAAGTCATCTGGCCCAACCCTCCTGCTCAGGCAGGGCCACCTAGAGCCAGTTGCTCAGGACTATGTCCAGACGGCTTTTGAGTATCTGCAAGGATGGAGATTCCACAACCTACCTGGGCAGACTGTGCCAGTGCTCAGTCGCCCTCACAGTGGAAAAGTGTTTCCTGGTGTTCAGAGGGAACCTCCTGTGTTTCAGTGTGTGCCCATTGCCTCTGGTCCTGTCACTGGGCACAACTGAGACAAGCCTGGCTCTGTCCTCTTTGCACCCTCCCTTCAGGTATTTATATACATTAACAAGATCCCCTCTGAGCCTTTTCTTCTCAAGGCTAAACAGTCTCTCTCAGCCTTTTCTCATACGTGAGATGCTCCAGTCCCTTAATCATCCTTATGGCCCATCGCTGGACTCTCTCCAGTATGTCCATGTCTCTCTTGTACTGAGGAGCCTGGAACTGGACACACTACTCCAGGTGAGGCCTCACCAGTGCTGAGTAGAAGGGAAAGATGACCTCCCTCAACCTGCGGGAAATTCCAGCTTATAAAACAGTGATCCTCCAAATGCTGCAATGTTATTTTTCCAGGCACAGGGAAACAAAACCAAAACCAAACAAAACCCAGCAAAAACCCCCAGAACTTATATGCTTCTCTGTAGTTAATCCTGCTTAGAATTTTGAATACAGCAGCACAGCCAATTAGGATGGTGAATCTTTCGATACATGTGTGAAGTTAGAAGATACTGATATGCTTACTGACAAAAAAGCGAATCACTTGAGAGCAGAGAATTTACAAATGGATACTAAAAGTAAAACTTCCATAAAAAGTTTGTGAACAGGCTCAGTTTTGAAGGGGTAACATTTAAAATTCTAGGGCACTTATTCCAAAGCAAAACATGGTTCACAGCCTAAAGATTTCCTCTAAAATACCACATTCGATCTACAAGACTTATAACAAAATACTAAAAGATCAGAAGATCTATCATAAATATCAAATTGGTGGGTTTTTGCCTGCAGGTGGGTGGTCTAAGGAAGAATTAAAGTTTTGTTGTTTATCTATTTATATATAATAACCTAGGTCTTTTCATACTATAAGTGATTTTAATAAAACAATCTTTTGCTTGGGACTTTTGTAAGTTTTGCTATGCGATACAGCCCTAACAAATGTTGAAATGTATTTCCTTGTATCAGTTCCCCTACTACTGCATCCTGCCAACAGGTTCTAAGGAAAGGAGTTTTCCTGGCCTTAAATCCAGTAACACTTTTAGCCCCATAAGAAGCAGCATCAGTAATTAATAACCTTTCCCAATACATAAATGGTATGAAATCCTCTCTGCTTTCAACTCTAATAAACCATGCCACCTAGCTAGACTGTCCATCTCTTCTTCAAAGTCAGTTAAGTTTAAAGGGCTTTCAAAGTTCAAACACAGAAATACCCTTCTGTTCTTTTCAAAACAGCCATGTTGTCAACTATTGCCTGGAAGATGACTCTACTTTTGCAACATTCTGTCGGAGTTATTTTCAAGGAGGAAAAGAAAAGGAATTCCAGTCAGGCATTACATTGCTCTTTCCCACCATCACATCAGAATACAGAGTCTTACTTAGGAATGAATGAGAAAAGTGTTGGATGAAACAATATCACGCTACTTAAAGTAATGAAAAAAAAAAAATCCCCATTGAGATGACTGTTTTTGAAAGCCACTGAAGCGTGAATGGTTCACACTAATTGGGAAAAAAAGGCACAGCTTATCTGTGTTACCCCGTAGTCAAATGGTATTTTATACAGTAACCGAATAAGCACAAACAAGAAACAGTCACACAAGTGTTAATTAATATTGATTTGGGGATGAAAATAATAAGATGAAAGCATCAGTATCTCATACAAATAGCAGTTTCCAACTTTTATCAATGGCAGTTGCTTTCAGAGCTATCATCTATGGTAATGGAAAAGTCTTCATTTACAAACATACTTAGAAGTTGAATTTCTGTCCAGTTCGGTTAGATTACAGAATTTTTACTTTTATATGTGAATTAGAGGAAAAACATGTGAACTTAAAAACTGCCAAACTAAGACAGAACAAAATTTTAGCAAGAAGAGTAGTTGTTTACAAGAGCAACTAGTAGAAGATAGATGCTACATTTAAAAGAAAGGACAATTATGGAGTAAACCATAGGCAGTGATTTATGCTCATATTTATGTTCTGTACTTACAGACTAACCCAAGTTTCTCCCTTTCACTGGCTGGTATTCAAACTCAGTTTGGGCTGTATTCATGAATATCTTCCCAGTCCACCATGTTCTCGACAAAGGAAGAAGAAAATCCGTAACAAAGTTGCCAGAGCAGAAGAGCAGAGTCTTTATAAATCAGGTAGAAAGAGGGGGGAAAAAAAAAGTAGAAAATGTAGGCATATGCAGGGGAAAAAAAAAGACAGTATTAGACTACTGTTTAAAAGAATCCAAAGAATTCTGTCCTATCAAGCATTCCTGGCAGACTGTTTAAAAAAAAAAAAAATATATATAGTATTGTTAAAGAAAAAAATCTCTGGCAGTCTAGTATTACAAAATAATAGGACAGTGAAGATGTTCTTCTTGCAGATCTTAGAAGGAAGACATAATATGCTCTTTTCTTCACTTACTCTTCTATATTCCTCTGTGGTAAAAAGACCCAAAACTGAAGATTCAATTCTCACAACTTTGCCCTTTCCTCTTCCTAATTTGCAAAAATAAAAAAATAAAAATACTTCTAAATACTTTAATGATGAGCAAGGCTCTTCCAACACATCTGAAAGAAGAAATGAATATTGGAAAGGGTACCGATACTTTTCAGGCTGTGAAACACAAACCCCGCATCTAGTTCTGAAGAACAATCTTGGAGGCTTCAAGGCTCAAGACAGAATACAGATAAAAGTTTGCTAAAGAGGAGGCAGAAGGAATAGCATTTGACTAAAGTTCAAAGACATTTCAATACAAGGATTCATTCTGCACACTAAAAGCTGCCTTAGAGTCTTCTTTTAAACACAAAAGAACTGCTTAAATACATCTTGTATTTCCAGACTTGGCTACAAGAAAGTAGCCTTTAGTAGTCACTGGAACCAAAATCCATTTAGTTTTCCAGACAATGGCCTCTGCTAACCTGACTGTACAGTCTGGGAACTGTCAGCAAGCCTAACTGAAGTAAACTGTGGAGTTACAGAAGTTCAACGACCTTGACTTAGAGCTTACCATTATTTTTCTTACGGCAGTTTTTTAACACCTATAGCATTTATTCAGAGCAACCTGGAAGACTTTGAACGACTATCATTCAAACAAATTCAAATACAGATTTGTGAACTTCTTAAAGAACTCTATCTGCCACACACACACACAAAGGAATAAGATATCGACAATTGTCAGAGTTGCCTAATCAGGGTTGCTGACATTGACTTCTGTTTTTTCCTTACAGTTTCATTAAGAGCAATCCTGACAGTACTGATGGCATGGTAAGTCGGGCAAGTTTTATTCAGCTTTGTGTTAACACAGGCTATAAGTTAGTTGCTCCACCATTTATTCATATTACTATATGTTGCTTAGAAGACTATGCCATTTGAGTACTGAATCATAGCTTAAGCCGGTCATTTTTTAAGTCTGATTTTTTTTAAACATACTTTTAAAAGTTATTTTCAAAATAAGTGTAAGTTCAATCTGAACTTATGACACTTTATAACTAGACTTTAAATGGCTGCAGGGCACAATATTGTAAATGAAAACAATACTCGGGCAATGTTTTTTGTCAATTTCAAAAATAAGGAAAAAGAATCAGGAAGCCATCAGTAAGTCACCTAGAAAAAAGACAGAAGTCTATTTTTAAGCCAATTGTTTCTATTGTAAGTAAAGTATGTCTATTTCTGTTCGCATCGTTCAATTACTACTTGATTAAGAGACAATATATATTGGGAGCTGAAAGACATAGAAATGCTTATTGTGCTCCCTCCTTAAGGCTTTAACCTCTGCACTGAAAAGGCACAGAGACCAGAAAACAAGAAGATTAAATAAGGCCCTAGAACAGTTTTGTCCACTATCACCACCACCCCACAAACAAAACCAGCCACTGTTTAAAGACTACTGCCAAACTCAAACTGCAAATGAACCCTTCCAAACATATCCACAGAACTAAGTAGATACTCCCTGATGAACTGTGCTCAGGGCAGAGACTGTTAGCCTTCCTCTCTTTCATTAGTCATTGACTCACAGATCAGCACAGGCATCACCCAGTTTCCTTAAACTGCTCTGCACTGCAGCTTTTCTTGTTCTATAATCCCGAATACCAGATTTGGAGAGTAGATGGTGCACTGCAATGGAAAAGCAAGTGCATTCTGCCAGGGGAGCAGGAAAAAGAGCTAAAGGCTTTCCCCTTCTAAAAGTTCCCATCACAACTCAAAGCCACACAATACTATTTTAACCGTTGCATTTTTCACCATGAGCCAGTCTGGGTTCGCCAAAATGGGCTAACCATAATCAAAATGGGCTGAACCAACTGGAACAATTTCT